TGTTGGCTTGTTATTGGTTTCTAAGAGCTCTTTATATATTAAGGGGAATTGACTCACTCATGTCTGTGATTTGCATTTCAATTTGACTTTTGTCTCTGCTTACGTTCTTTTAATAAGTTTTTTTTAAGGTGGTCAAATTTATCAGTGTTTTTCTTTGGACAATGTCTTATGCAAATTTGTGTCTGTTGCACCTGGGACACAGCCAATGCATTTTATTTTATTTAAAAAAAATTTATTTATTTTATTTTTTTCCCCCAAAGCCCCAGTAGATAGTTGTATGTCATAGCTGCACATCCTTCTAGTTGCTGCACGTGGGATGTGGCCTCAGCATGGCCGGACAAGCAGTGCTTTGGTGCGTGCCCGGGATCCGAACCTGGGCCACGAGCAGCGGCGTGCGCGCACTTAACCACTAAGCCACAGGGCCGCCCCTGCCAATGCGTTTTAGATGCTTGATTAATATCTGATGGAAAAATGCCCTGCTCCAGTTGTTGGTAACACAAATGACCAATTTCCTGAATAGAAATCCGAGCCCATGTGATATAATAATACTGCTGATAACACTATTTATTATGTGCTATATAAGTTGGGATGCTTTTGGCTGCAAATAACTAAGGAAGAACCAACTCAAAATATTTAAACCATAAGGACATTTGTTAACTCACGTAATAAAGTTAACCTATCTTTCCTAAGCAATTATCCTTGTAAGAATTAAGTTATGCTGTAACAGTGGGGATCTTTGTTGAATTACTCCCTCCACAGCTTCTACTCTAAGCACGTGGACTATTGCCTATAAATGAAGCTGAATTAACGGAAACAGAATCCAGAGATGGAGAGAGAGACTTAATTTAAAATTTTAAAGACATATCTCGAATTCTGCATTCGGGGTGGGGGTGGGGGTCTGAGGTCACACATTCCTGTACCTTTCAGTCAAGTAAGCCAAAGAATTCTTTTTTATGTTTAAAGCCACTTTGTGTCTCTGTCATTTGCAACAGAAAAAAAAATCCCAGTGGTAGCTCTCTGACTTCTAAATCCCTTGGATAGGCAAATACCTTCAGCCCCAGAGGTTAACCTGATGACTTCTCTGGGTCTCTATCCTTCTGCTGGGCTGGTCAGGAAGTTCTGGAGTCATGCTCAGACTTCTGGTAGGACAAAAGCTTTTGTTTGTGAGTGCTGAATAGTGCAGTTACTCTACTTCTGAGAGTGTTCTAGAGAGCAGCAAGGTACTGCTGGGGAAATAGTGAAGGCAAGCAACTTGGGACCACTGAATCTTAGCTAGCCATCATCCATCCACCCATCCATCCACCACCTATCCACCATCCATCCATCAATTCATCTACTTCCCATCCACCATCCATCCATTCATCCATCCAGCCATCCACCCACCACCTACCCACCATCCATCTACCTCCTATCCACCATTCATCCATCCATCCACCACATATCCACCATCCATCCATCAATTCATCTACTTCCCATCCAGCCATCCACCCACCCAGCCACCATCTATCCACCATCCATCCATCCATCCACCCACCACCTATCCACCATCCATCCATCCACCCACCACCTATCCACCATCCACCTCCCATCAACCATTCATCCATCCATCCACTACCTATCCACCATCCATCCATCAATTCATTTACCACCC